TGTGTGTGTGCGTGCGCGCGTGTTTGTGTGTGTGCATTGTCGGTGCGAATACCCTTACAAGGGTATCTGCCCTGGTATCTGCAAGTAACAGAAAAACGGTTTTGGCTGTTGGTGCGAATACCCTTACAAGGGTATCTGCCCTGGTTTTTGCAAGTAACAGAAAAACGGTTTTGGTTTAGAATTTAAGTATACCGCGCTAAGCGCGGCTGCATCTGTAATTGCGTTGATTGGGTGGTTGACCACAATAGCGAGTGCGTGAGTGCGCAGGTTTAAGGCGCCCGTGATTCTTTTCTGTTGGTGATATTATTATTTATTTATTTTTGATTAAGCAGGAATTAAGGATATTTTCTTTTTGGTACATTTGGCCGAGTCAAGCGCGCGTGCGGAGAACGACCCCGACGATGGCGCGACTTCGTGCGGTGAACGGGAAATGTAGGATGGCGCGCGGGGCAATTATGGCATGGTATAAGCAAGCCGGCACGGACAATGGGAGCCGCGCAGCCGGTTTATGGGCCCAAAAGCACCGCGCCGCACCGCCTTGTATAGTACTCTGCGGGCGCTGGTCTCAGACTTGGGCTTAGCCCTATAGGTTACGACATTGGGCTGACACTATGAAGGTTCGGGGATTGACGCCGGCAAGCGCCAACGGAGCATCGAGGAAGGAGCCGATGGGGTTGAGGGCCGTGGGGCTATCCCCTTTTGGTTTTGTCGATGGCGGCGTCCGGTCAGTGGTGGCGTTTTCTAAATAATTTTTTTCTAGCGTCGTATTTTTTATACCCCGGCGGGCCGTTGACTTGGGCGAGACGCTGGATCTAATGGTCGTCACGGTAGTCAAGGATCTTGAGCGCGTACCCCGTTTGACGGGGCCGCATGTTTGGGGGGCTGGTAAAAGTCCTCCCTTACGCCGTGGCTGAAAAACCATGACGCGGTAAGGGTTGAGTTTGTAATTGCACTTGAGGCGAAAGGGCCGGTAATGTTGAATATATACGCCCTACGCTTCGGGTTCGATGAGGTCGCGGGGGGGTGCGTGTTGTATTCACAGAACTGCTTGAAGGGCGCCTACAACCTGGTTCCGTAACTGTGTCGGAGTTACCCCCTTCGTAGCATAACAGGGAGCCCTGTAGCAGCCACATTCGTGCTCGGGCCACCAATAGGGAAAACTGAAGGAAAACGCAACCACAGGTGGGGGCGCTACCTACCACACGCAGGTGGGCCATGCAGGCCATGGGTCGGCAGGGAGGATCAGGACTGAGCCTTCTCGGTGGGCCAGTCATTATGCCTCGCCTCCGATCCAGCAAGAGGGCGGAGTAGCCAAGGGTGCGTGTGAATCGGGACGGGAGGCAGTGCGAGGTGCAGGCCGGGTGCATTGCAATGGGCAGTGGAGGCGGGGAAGGCGTTGGTATAAGGGCGAAAGACGAATTGAACCGTCTGTTTTCCCTGGAGTTCCCCTTGAGACAGTCGGTACTGCTCTGAACGCTACCCGGGTTGTTTGTGGGATCGACCATTGCCAACGAACTACGATAGCAGGGAGGGCAGAATGACACAGCGGGGCGACCATACTAGGGCGGAGACAGCGGGAGAGAGGCTCGGGCGGAGTACTGGGTGGACCGCTGCATCGAGCGTCGGAACGTGCATAGGAAAGCATGGCGGGCGCTAGCACAGCGGAGGGGTGGATACAGCGGCGAATGCAGACAGGGGCGGAAGGTGAAGGCAGCAGCGCGGTGAGAATGGAATGAATTTGACCCAGAATCGCGTCTGGGTGCGTTCAGAGGCAAAGGCAAGGAGTGAAGAAACGAGATTTCACTCGATTCTTGATGGAATCGAGTGAAAGAAGAGGGTAGATTAACATTTTGAAGCCGGGCGAAATCAACTATATAGTTAGTTTTGGAAGAAAATCAGTAGAAAGGAAGATTAGCAGGAAGATGCCGCGAGGAGATGGCCGGGAGTAGGAAAGGAAGAAGGTGGGAAAACGCATATCATGTGCGTCTCCGAGCGGATTTCGACAGAGTAAAAGTCGAAATTATGGTTTCAGGGCAGGGCGAATTCAATAGGGATGTTAGTTTTGGATGAAAGTTAGTGTAGTTTGAGTCAGTAGTTAGGAGGCTTGCGCGGAGCTGCTAAACCAAAGGCTATCGCGGGAAGAAAAAGATCGGCATCTCGCCCGATTCTTCAGGTAATCGGGCGAACCAAGGTACCAGCTCGGGTTTTTTTACCAGCGCGGGGCGGATCGCGGTCGTAAAACTCGGCTTGGGGAAGCCATTCGGACGGAACGGGATACGACTGTTGCGCCTGGGAGTAAAAAGTAGTAAACCGTAATGGCACCTAGCCGGCTTGTAGCGATAGATTCATTCGATTTTGCTCATTTTCTGCAATGAAACTGAAGTGAATAGGTGCGCGGATTGGAAGACCTACCTGTGTACTAGTGCGCTGCTCGTCTATGAATGGAAGTAGTATCTCCCAATCTCCCGGCGCGCGCGACTGGACAGTAGTGTATATTTCCGTGTTCGTGCGGTATGTTCATTCGAAGTCTCGCTCATCGTATTGAGCGAATTAGCGCAGCGGAAGGCCGGCCGGTCGTTGAAAACTTACTGGTGAACCAATGCGTCGCCCAGTCTACTGATAGAAGTAGCTCTTCCCTGACCCCCTGCGCGAGTGGTTGAATCACAGTGTATATGACCACGTTTTAGCGGTAGGTTCATTCTAATTTTTGCTCACCTCACTGAGGGAAGTKGCGTGGGGCCAACTTCGAGGYTAGWGACTTRCCTRTTGGCCTATGTGCTCGCATGGGAGAAYAGGAACRAAGAGGAGGTAGGTGRGAAGACRAGTACACTTACCTTGSTAKAGCGYATCCGTGATCACAACGAGCGTGAGTCGGCTACAGGGCTTACGCTGTAGGARCGCARACTRAGAAGRGGAAGAAGTCAAAYGAATTTGGGTWACTTACCTGGTCGGAGCGCGWCTATGTTGTGAGGGCATGCGCCTGCCACGAGATAAGGTGCTAAGCTGCAGGGAAAAATAGGGGAGGGGCGRTCYTAYGACCCAGYRAACRRACTGAGCAGGTGCRGCAGGCCGTATGAGGCGGGACGAGGCTGTTTTTGAGWTGTGAATCAACCCACCKCTCGATTGCTGGRCTCYTACAGCGGTGAAYTGTACRTCCARCTACAAGKCTTACCATCGAGCTTGCGGCATCACTGCTGAGTACTACTGTCTCGATAGTTGGGTATGCTGGGACTGCGACTCTTTGAAAGAGYTRYCGGTACGGTACTATTGTTGYCCTCGGCWACGTACTRTTCTATTGGTAGAGGCTGCAGYTGTTTCTCCTGCTAGCTACTGCGAGCATGTTGYTGTGGAYTGGGTATAGMTGCATACTGTTGCTATTTTCSRCTGTGCACAGCCGCGGRCTGCTGAGTGACTGTGCATGAACTACTAATGAGAATTATTGTTGGCGGTGCACAGACTGAGGCTSCATATTGYTGCTGTTAGCTGCATACTACGACTGTTGCTGTAGATCACCACTGTGTGCTGTTGCRGCGCTTATGGATTGGGACAGGGGGTTGGATTCGGCGGTTGACTTCAGCAGTTTGACTTCTGTTTTGACCGAGCTGTTACAGGTCGGCCATCATTGCGGGGCCCTCAGGCGAATCAAGGTTTCAAGACCCTCTCTTGCGAGACT